ATGGGGGGGGGGGGATTAAATGAAAGAAAGGGAGAGAGGGGGAGAGAGAGAGGGGGGAGAGATGGAGAGAGAGAGAAAGAGAGATAGATAGAGAGAGAGAGAGAGAGAGAGAGAGAGAGGGAGGGGAAGAGATGGAGAGAGAGAGATAAATAATAATAGATAGCATTTGTATAGCGCATATCCCCGCTCAGCAGCAGGCTCTATGCGCTTTGCACTATATTATTACCCCAACAGACCATAGAACACTCCGAAACATTCTCAGCTTCCCGGGAAGCATACAGTGCGAGCAGCCGATTAAGCGCTCAAACACTAACAAACTGACAAGATCTTTCGCTGTCTATAGCCGGGTACCCATTCCCACCTGGGTGAAGTGAGGAAAATTCGTGTAAAGTGCCTTTCCCAAGGACACAACGTCGGACCCTTGACGGGATTCGAACCCACGACCTTACGGTTGCGAGTCCGAGAGCCTAACCACTAGATAGATAGAGAGAGAGATATATATAGATAGAGAGAGATATATATAGATAGAGAGAGATATATATAGATAGAGAGAGAGAGAGAGAGAGAGAGAGAGAGAGAGAGAGAGAGAGAGAGAGAGAGAGAGTCGTGCGTGTGTGAAGAAAGAGGAGGGTTGAGAGCAGTTCAAAAATTCTTCCTTACGACAAGTTGGCGTGACCCACAAAGCTTTCTTGTGGCATTAACAATGCGGCCGTCTTTTGGTGGTGGCTGACTATTATTTAATGTTGTAAAAATGTTTTTGTCTCTTATCTTTTTAGGTCTATCATTGTTTCAAGCTTGGTTCACATGATGCAACATCGGCCTACGACAAAGACAAGTAACTTATCTTTAGTGTCAGAATGTGGAATGAACTAGAAGTGTTTTTCAATGTTTTTTATTTTTGTTAGCTTGTGTGTTTGTTTTTATATAATATTAAAAACCGTTATGCCTTTAAAATGGGCGTTAATTAATAATAATAGTAATAATAATATTAATGATAATAATATCAATAATAATAATAATAATAATAGTAAAAATAATAAAGATAGTAATAATAATAAAGATAGCAATAACGATAATAATAATAGATCTACTGCTACTACTACTACTACTACTACTACTACTACTACTACTACTACTACTACTACTAATAATAATAATAATAATAATAATAATAATAATAATAATAATAATAATAATTGATCATGTTATTTTATTTCAAATCCACAGAATTCTACACTTAGTGTAGAATTCTGTGTTCAAATCCCAACGCGGCGCTTTGACAAAAAGTCGAAAAGATCCTGGAGAGAGCCATGGAAAAAAGTAAATACTGGCGATACTGATACAATGTACCTCGACAAATCTTCAATATCAGGAAATTTCCCCCAAAACTAGGAAAGGATGAAAATTTCCTTGTTGTTTCGAGTTAAAAAAACAAAAACAAGGAGGAATAAAAGCAAAGAGCTGAATCTTAACCGTGACCGAACAAAAGTAGGACACAGTGTTTATTCAAGCATAACAATACCCCTGTGACGTTGAGAAATAAGCCTGGGCCTACTTTACGATAAATAATTATAAAAGTCTAGCCTCTATCTTTGACGAACTACGATCAGGAAGCTGGCTGTCAGAGTTGCGGCGACAGACCAGTCGGTTGAAAGCGTAGACACTTGTCGCAGGCAGTTGACAGTTGACAACGCAATCGATGAATAATAGCATACGAAGTTGCGATCGTGTTCTACGTATAGCTTGCTAGATCTGCATACACGAAGAAACGCTTTCCAGAAATTTTGTAAGTTTAATTTATCCAGAGAGTCTTTCGGAGCACAGAGTGAGTGAGAGATGGCCGCAATCAACTTCCAGTTATCCTCGGATTTTGGCTTCGTCATCCTGGTTGTAGTGACCGGATGGGTGTTCCTTCAGTATTTGGCGATGAATGTTATGAAAGCAAGAAAGAAGTACGATGTGAAGGTAGGTGTAGATCTAGATCTACTTGTGAAGCTCGTTTAGAGTCGTTGGTGTTGTCGTTTCAGAGTCACATGATTCATTCATTTCTTTGCAATAACTGCTTTTTAAGGCCACCTCTATTCTCACCCGGAGTGAGAATAGTGCAGGCGAGTCTTGTGGCTATTCTCACCCGGTGCGCGTTCACCAAATTTTGCGCTCACCCTAAACCACAGAATTCTACACTGTGATTATAACAGAAAATTTGTAGAATTCTGTGCCGTGAACAAACGTTCCATTACAACTGTAGCCTACTAAAAGTAAAAGCGTACTATTTTGTCTGTGGGCAGTGGAGAGAGAGAAAGAGAGAGAGGAGTAGCGCGAGAATTTCCGGGCAAAACAAAATGGCGACCCGCATAGTTCGGCTCGATTCGAAAAGTTAAATAGCCGTAGCATCTTTGTAGACAACCAAATTAATTTACTTTTGTGTTTTAACATCATTTTTTAACTTTGTTTTGGTCAATTTGATCGTCCACACCGATAGACAGTATTCAGAAAGAGACAGAGAGAGAGAGAAGAGGGGAGGAGTTGATCTTGCCAGAACTTCCGGGCGGGTGAGAATAGCCACTTTCGCTTTTTAAAGGCTTAAAAGTAGGCATTAACTAGAATCTAGATTATAGGCCAGATATATTATTTGGAAGAACTTCTGACTGTAACGAGCGACCACCCCAACATACAATTATAAAAGAACAGACCATATCTCTGGATCTATCCCCAACCTTTGGTGCCTTTTCGGTAAGGCCGTCATTGTCCGAATAACATTTTTTCATATTCGGACTCGAGTAAAAATTTTAATATTCGGACTCGAGTCCGAAAAAGAAAAGATGTTATTCGGACACGGGTCCAGAAAAAAGGAAGTGTCTTCGTTCTATAGATCTAACGTTCAGTGCTTCCAATTTTCCGCCATTTTTTAGTTTCCCCCACACCTTGTCTGCTGATCCGATGCCCGCCGCCTCATTGATACGCCCCCCACCCCCCAATGTTTCCCACTTTCTTTGTTGTAGAAAAATGTAAAATTGAAAATTAGCAGATCTCCTGGCATCTGCATATTATGAGCTTTGTAAAAAAAAAAAAAAAAGACTGATTCGTTCAAATACACAAGCCTGTGTCATCTCGATTGTTTATCAAGAAAAAGTTGTGTTGCTGTGTAGAGCCGAGCATACGGCAACTTTTGATTCCATAGACCAGCGCACAATTCATAAAGTAGATCTACGTCAAGACTAGCTTATTATTGTAATAAGGATCAGTTGCCGGGGGGGGCGGGGGGGACTGACGCGTATGCGACGTTCAACGCCCGGACCGATAGCGCCCCCCCTCCCCCTTTCCCCGACACGCACACACAGCCACACGTGTGCAGGCCGCCCATCCGACCCCGACACACGTTAACGAGCCATCTTTAATTGCTTCTGATGACCTCTTGACAAATAAACATTTATTAGAAGCGCTCTAACTTTTCAGACCGGCCTCAAATTCATCATAAGATAAAAACTCGGCTCCGGCACAATTTAACGTCATTTTGCCCGAAGTGATCCCGGTCTCTACCCATCCTGAAGCGAGGACTCACGAGTGAGGCAGGACAGGAAGCCGGAGTCACGAGTCACAGGAAGTCGGAAGTGATGTCATGCTGGACAAGAATCAGAGTCCTAATAACATTTTTTCATATTCGGACTCAAGTCCGAATAGTCACTTCGTTTCGATAATTCCCACCCCCCTTATTTGAGCCTACTAGTAGATCGACTTACATCTAGATCTAGAATCTAGATCTAGGGCAGTTGTTTACTTTCTTGCGTTTAATTCCGGCCGCACCTAGATCCAGACGAAACCCTATGATTTCTCAACTGGATATTCAAAACGTTGCTCTACTACGTTACTGCAATTTCATTATTTGTAGGTGTAGATATCTAGATCTAGTAACATACTGGCTTTAACTGATTCCGTCCATGATTTTTTCAGGCTCTGGACAGAATTATTTTTCCCTGTTCAGTTTTAGACCTGGGGTGCATCTATTTAATGCATTACTGTTGAAGCTCTAAGTTACTCTAATAGGTATTGTCTTACCAAACTGATGGTAGTAAATAGAAGAATCTGTTATCAATAACAATGACCTATAATCTGTTTGTATTGCATTTTGCTTCTGACAAAAACGAATGAGAAAAAAATATTGCGCAACAGCTCTTCGAAAATTTTGACTTACGGCATTTTCTCAGCTCTACAAGTCCTTATAATCCATAGGAATCAACACAAAATTGCATGACATATATCACCCTCGCACACATTTATGCAAGAATTTCACAAATTTTGTTGAATATCTTTCTTTGAAGAGCCTTTTTATACCAGGCTCCGTGTTGTTTACCCTTAGATCTAGCCTACATCGCAACAACATAACAACGATTTTTGCAAGAATTTCGCGGAGTTTTGATCGATATTGGCGCTCAGAGATTGAGGTCAGGTTTGTTCATAAGTTCTACTTCCTTTCGAGAAACTTAAAAAGTAGGAACTATGTTAAAAAGTGCACATTTGTTTCGGATTTCGTTGAGCCGCTCACAGCGGCCGAATGGAAGCAGCGGAAAAACTCAGAGCCGCTGTCAGCGGCCGAATGGACGGAATCAGTTAAAAGGCTTCCCCTACTGATTTTGATGGCCATTGTAAGTGAGTATAGGCTAATTAGCCTAATATTCATAGAGTTCTGAGCGTTTGCTCATTGCTGAAGTCCTCCCCCTGAAACGTGAGAAAGTAAACAATTATAAGATCTAGATCTATGTTTGATGCACGGTGAGCTAAGATATCAAACCTAACAACTGCAAAACATCAAATTATGATAAAATGCCCCCCTGACAACCCCCACTATTTTTTTATTAGATCAGGGGGGAGGGTGTGGTGTAAACGCACCTTTAGAATAGAAGGACATGTAGCGTGAACACACCTTAATAATAATTATTGTGACGTAGGCCTAAGGGACATATCACGTGACTGTGATCTCGTACAAGCGGCGGGAAATCTGAAGGTCACTCTCTCACTGAAGCCGAAACGAGTAACATCAGCTAACGAAGAACTAGCAGACGACCAGCAGGTGGGGCCCCACCAACATCAACTATCATTTAGATCTACTACTCCAAGATTCAAGTAAGTCGTAACATAACATGGTGTCAGAAGTGCGCAGAGATACGGACAGTACGAATCCAAGTGCAAATATTGAAATCGGAATGTAGACTCTAGATCTCTAGATTAGACACAGATGGAGACTCACGTGAAATTTACTACTAGAAACTAGTCTGTAAGCCTAAGACGCTAAATCTAGTCGCCTGAATCTAAACCCATTGAAACTAGTCAACCAAGCCTCAATATGGAAGGGACAAAGTCCAGATTTCATGCTCAAATACAGCCGCCTCAAAAATTAAATATTAACGAGGAAAGTACTTAGCAATCAAACTGGAGAAAGTTTTCGAGGGCATGGAAG